TACTGTTTAGAAATGACACAGCTTTAGTCTGTATTTGTCAAGCTTCAACTTTCAACCATTTGATTTTTGTATGCTGGTGTGGAAAACCCTGTATTATGTGAGTTCTTTGTTAATTTTATATATATATATGAAATGTGATAAGGATAAAAGCATAATATTTAAGCACACTGAGTCTTCATGCATAAGCACTGTTTCAAAACCTCTTATTTTTCTCCAGTTTTTCAGTATTTCAACAGACACTAGTGTAGAATTATTCACACTGGACATTAGCCTATTTACGTACTCAAAGATTGTATTAGTCTTTTAGTTACAGTACAGTTCATTTGCTTGTGACCCTCAAGTCTTCTTAGTCACTCTTGCAAGGGGGAAGTCCTCCACCTGTGGTAAATACTGTATGCGCCCTCCCTTGTCCCCCACCCAGCAAGTATATGAACTTGAATTTATTGTATTGAAAAACATTGTTTGCCTTCACTAAATCTGTTTAGCAGTTCTGGTCACTACACACATGATTCATTTTGTTAGTAATTTACTATTCTCATTAACATGGTCTTTTTTTAGGCTGTTGATGAAAGACGATAACTAGCGAAAGGCAGATAATTTGTTAGGACTGCCACCAGAAACGCACTCATTGGATTTTCTATTTATAGTTACATTCTGAGACCTACTGGTTAGGTGGTTAGGTGGTGTTGACTCCATTTAGTGTATGCAGTGTTTTTTGAATTAAATACCTTACGCCACTAAGCCAGATTCCTTAGGGAAGTCTGAATATATTAATTATACGCTACTGCCTTCATTATTGATATGCTATGCTGTTGGACTTCTGTATGGAATGAGACGAGCTAACTAAGAGCTACAGGTAGCATTTTAGGTACTCCTTATGGCTTTTCTGAGGAGCAGAGCAGTGAAAACGATAGAATTTTGGACAACTGAAATGTTTTAATAAAACGTATTTAACTGCTTTCAAAGTGTTTACAGGCAGCTGGTCAGTTATTACATCTTGGAAGTTTTGAAGGGAACGAATAAGGTGCTGAGAAATGCTCCATACTTCCCAGAAACATCTCCCTTGGTGGGGGGAAAAAAGCCTACTGTACTCACAGTTACTCTCTGTCGTAGCGGAGACTTTTGCACTGCCTGCAGGATCACGGAGAATTCACTTGCACTTTGAAGTGTGAAGTGATAATCCTCACAACTGCTTACTTCTTTATTAAATTTGCGGAAGTTAATTACATGCCCTGCTAATTTACAACAAAAAACTCACAATTCTCTGATGCCAAGTAGGCAAGTGAGTTTTCCAAGCTTCAGTTTAGTCCCTCATGCTGTAAGAAGAATTTGGCATTGGCACACATTATTACTATCATCCATCCAGAGAGTTTATTAATGTATGCACATTTTTCTACACAGTAGCGTCTCGTGAGCATGTCTTGATAAATCTCCTAAATGCAATTTAAATGTATTTCTCGATAGCATTTTATAGTGTTGGGACTTATTGTTAAAGTCCTGCTTATCATTTGTGGGTTGACTACTTGGCAAATGAGAGCAGGACATAAATTAAAATCACGATATTGTATAAGGCTAAATATACTAAGCGTTCACATGTGCTAAATACGTTGCCAAGGACATAGTCAGAAATTAACTGATGTTTAGAACAGTGGTATTTGATATTCATGAAGTTTGCTGTATTTCATATACCTTGACAACTGTAAGTAAATTGGATTTTGGAGGGGTTTTTGGCGGCCTTTTAAATGGTGCTTGCTGTAATGTTGCTAGCTGAACACCAGAACAAGAATACCCCTCTCACCAAACAAGAAGTGGATCATTCTGCTGGTGACAGATTGACCTCGAAGTGTGCAACTGGGGAGGCCAGATCTAATGAAACAAAGTGGATCATTGCTCTGTATTCTGTTATTAAGCACCTTGGAGTTAACTAGAGTAGTGATTAAATGTGTTTAAATGACTGTTACAGTGATACGAAGATAAAAGGTCAGTTCATACTCTTTCGCCAGGCCTAAACAGAAGTAATTAATAAAACTAAAAATGGTGCTACATGAGATATAACCTGAAAATGTGTTCTTTGCGTGTTTGTTTAGAGTATTGGGGTAGCTGAGTGGAAAAGAATTATATGGAAATAGTTGCCTTTAATCATATTGTCATTAATATTTTACAATTTCTTGTGAAGGGATCATATTGAATCTCATTTAAATGGGACACCACCATTGATGCAGGGGAATCTGAGTTCATCTGTCCCTTTTTTTTGTTTCTGGACTGTCTGCCTTACATTATGCATTGTGTGACTGCCCACATAGTCCATCAGAGAAAATTTGACTTTGACCAAATAATTATTTCCAATTTTTTTCTGTGTCTCTTACTGCCTCACCAGCTTCAGACATAAATGCTGTATTTGCTTATAAGTTTCCATCCTTTTATCTAAAGAAAAATTTCCAATATTTTGCCACTTTCTCTGTAAAACCAAAATAAAATTGCAAGTATACAGCTGTCAGTTCTCCCCAGCATATTCAGTTGTTGGTCAGCCTTCCCTGCGGAAGTTAGCAGTCTAATTACTGCTTTAGAACAACAGTTGCAAACAGCGTCAAGTCAGGTACCTAAATGAGAACTCTGGAAAAATTAGGTCTGTGCCAAAATGGATTTAGATGTGTCACTGTAGGTAGCAGGTGAATGTGGAAGAGACGTTCTGATTGGCAACTGTGTGCTTAGATAAGCTTTAGAAAGAGCAAACTTTATTTGTTGCATTGATGCTTGAAATTTTCTGGAGGTTCCGTGTTATGCAGCTACCCTTACAGTGGGATTAAAAAACATTTCATTGCTGCTTAAGCCTAAAAGATTGGCTTTGATAACTTGTGCTGTAATGTTTTTTCTGTCAGTTTTTTATCGACTCCAATTTATATGCAATAATGCGTTGCTATTGGGGGGCAACTGTAATGCCGAAAGCCACGTGGTAGGTGCCTACAGAATGAGTTTAAAACCCGAAATGTGTGTAGTCGGAATTCCTTCACTGCTGAACAGGAATCTTAGAGATTGTGTTGATTTTTATATATCTGTTTAAACAAAAGCTGAAGATAAAGATCTTAAATGAAAAGGACCCATTGGTAGAATTGCTTCCCTTATCTTGTTTGTACTGATTAATTAAAAAATAAAAAGCACATAGGGTTAAAGATAAGACGGTACCACTGTTTTCTTCTTTATGTGTAATCTTGTTGCATGTCTCTACATAAGCTGTTCTGGCCACTCATCATAGTAACCAGCTGGGCCATTTCACCTGCTGGAGCCATTAAAGAGGACTCTCTCCCCCTAGATTAATCCCCTCCGACATTAGTTTTTTGCTCTGACAACTGGAGCAGGCATTCAGAATTTGCAGGTGGCCAGTGTGACGCACATAATTGCCTACAATTTTAGGCAATGAATAAAAATGGTCTACATTACTTGTCAAAGGTTGTATATGCAGTGCCAAGTGAGATCTATGGGAAGCCTTTTAGGGTTTAAAGAACAGTTAATAGCAAAGCTGCACAGTGCTTTTTTAATCATAATGCATTTGTAATATAGCACTTTGATCTTCTCCTTGTAGGAAATGGTGTTATATTAGCCACTTTTAAACATTTATGAGTGAAATTCAGTTATAGGAGAGTAAAAGTGATTATTCTTAGGCAGAACATGTTAGATTTCATTAAAAGTTTTAGCTTGCCCCTTCCTTGTTAAAATCTGTGGGGAGTCCTGTTCCTGGAGGGTTTCGAATCAGGATCTGAAGATTTAGAACAGCTTTTTCTTTGTTTTTCACTAAAGCAACTGCAAGACTAGAAAAGACTGTAGTAAATACTGATGTTATTTGTGGTTGTTTATAAATGTACTTCAACCGCACAGCATTAAGCGCAAAAAATGTTGTGTGCTCAACGGCTTAGGGAATGTTTCCTTGTGTTTTAAAGCTCTTCATTCTCAGTTGCGTCAATTATAACCTAAAAAATGCATTATTTAAAGCATGATCATAAATTATCTACAACAAAAAATAGGCGACTCTAAAATGTACTACTCCTAGAAGAGCCGAGTTTGACCTTTCAGACCCAAGAGCCTTTTATTAACACCTGCCTGTAAGGAGAACCGTGCCACACGCAGCTTTCAGATTCACGACCACAAAACTGATGAGGAAAGGCTTGAAGGGTTCAGTTTGTGTCACTTGCTGTTTGCCGTTTCCATTTCACAGATGATTAATCTTTCTGTGAAGAAAGGCCAGAGAAACAAAGCACATTGGGCTCTTCCTGCAGTTACTCCTTCTGAATGCACACTAGCTTGCTAACTAAAAGGCCTTTAGATTTCCTGCCGAGAGAGATGTTCTGAAAGTGAATGCAGCTGGTTGGAGGTCACCAGTGCAAGGCTCTTGCCATTGTGTAATGGAGGCTTTGGCAGGTTTCATTTGGGGGGGGAGGGAGAAGGTGTTGGCGAAAAATTAATGCGGAATAAAAAGGGCTTTGGCCATCTGAATTAATTTCTTGAAGGGTGGATCATCAATAATAGGCTCAATTTCTGTTGCTCGCAATTTAAAAAAAAAAAAAAGATATTTGCTGTGTTTTTTCCCCACCCATTCCCTTTTCTTAATGGCATGTTTATATTGTACGTGGTCTCTCCCGCTGGATGCTGAAATGTCGCGTCTTACTGAGTTTGAAAAGCAATCTAAAATGTACTGATTTTTACATATATTTTATGAGCTCTGCTAATTTTCGTGGTGGCGAGAGATGATACTTGAGTATTCTCTATTTAACTTCCCAATTATGGGATTTGTATTGCTTAAATAATCGATATTGCTCTTTAGTGACTTTTAAAGCAGCCATTTCTATTTTTCTGGGAGCGTAAAAATTTGTTTTTAAAAGGTATTATCTGATTTTTAATTTGTGTGTATGTTTTTGAATCTTAATACGTACACGCCTTGTTTATGGAAGAGAATGGTCTGATATCCAGCTGAGTTTTTGACTTTGTTTTTTCTTGATCTTGCGTAGGACGTAATGTGCAAAATCAAGACATGGGTAATAGATGAAAAGAAAGCTGTCCGCTTCTATCATGATTGGAATGACAAAGAGGTAGGCTATAAATATTATCCCATGAATTGACTTCTGATTTTGCTACCTGTTACTGTCTTTTTTTTTTTAAAAGGTTGGTTTTTTTAGATTTCCTATTCAAACTGTATTGAATGTTAAATTTATCAGCCGATTCTGTGTTTATCAGTGATCTATGTATTACACTTTAATTCTTTTGCCTTCTCAGACATGCCATGAGGAGAATGGTCATAAAATTAACTTAAGTTGCTATAACTTGTTTTTAAAATTCTCCTCCTATATTTTCACTTCTAGATTGATGTTTTGAACAAACATTTGTTTTTTACTTCAAAACCGATGATCTACTTGGTTAACCTCTCTGAAAAAGACTACATTAGAAAGAAAAACAAGTGGTGAGTGTGTTCAGGTTAAATATCTAAATTCATGTTTCTATTTCACATTCTTCAATGGTAAATAATTCCTTGCGCATTAAGATCACCAAGGATATTAATTAGAATAGGAATAAAAACTAATGTTGCACTTTTGTTACTTGTTGTGCTCCCATTGACGTGCTGCTTGAGTACAATGCATATGGCGAAACCCTGAATGAAAGTGCAGAATAGAAAAGAATACGCTTTCCTTCCTTACATGAATCCATTAACTGTGAAGAAAATAGATTTGATGTAGAAGTACTGATTTAAATAAACATATGGTTTTATCATGTTATATAAGGCTGATTGTCTGCACAACATCTTTTTAATTCCAAAGGAATGAACTGAATCCAGAGGACTAAAGCTAGGTGAGTTACACAGAAATCTTTCAAACCGTGGCAAAATTGCACATTTTAACAGTACTCTGCAGTTGGGTGCCTGGCTTCCTTGCCACTGCTTGCACTTTGCTTATGGTTTACAGGCCTCTTTTGATGGGCTTTAATGCCATGAACAGCGCAGGTTTTAGTCAAGTATTCCTGACATCAATATTACGACTTAAGTACTTGATAGTTATGAAATCAATCTATCAGACATTCAATGCACTGGATGAAGATCCAGTCCTAACATGGTAGACATATGGTGGGAATCCGCTGTTGAGAAATACAGCATTTAGCATGTCATTGGAAGGTCTAGATGGGATAAAGATTTGGTTGTGGAGGAGGGAACAGATTAAGTAGTATACGATGGAGAAAAATCTATAGCAGTATATTTAGTTTAAAAAAACCCAATCAAACAGCAGGCCTTTTCTTAGTATTCAGATCTTTAAACACTGTACTTGTGAGATACTTTGAAGATGTATAAACGTATGTTTGTGAACAGATATATGCGTGTAACTCATCCAAACAAATCAAAAGTATCTAAAGCGGAATATCTGAATTCTCCTAAAGTACACCCTCTGTTTCTCCCTGTACTTCATTAAGTACTTAGATGCACATGGTTTCAATTTTCCATTAAAAATTCTCATTTCCATATGATATCAAAGAGTGAGAAGGCTTTAAACTGAAAAATAAACATTCATAGACTGGAAGCCAAAACAATAATTAATGTCAGATGGTTAACTCCAATAAATCATTAGAATAAATTCTGTGAAATTACTGCAACTGAAACTGTCCTTTTGATACTCCAAGACATTTTGTGTTAGTATTAAAGAACAAAATTTAACCTATTTAATAGCAAACCCTCTCAGCCCAAAACACAGACTTTGGAATAAACTCAATAACCAATGTAATGTAATATAAGCTTTTCATATTTGGCCAGATTTTATAATTTTAAATTAATTTGTTCCTTCTTTGAATGTTTTTCGGGTATGACGATTTAAACATTAAAAGTGGTTCTACCCAAGGAAGTCTTTAAAATCAGGATAGTAGTATTCACTGTTATTGTCAGGTGATATTTTTTTCAAAGTACAAATGTTGAGGTTTCCTAAGGTTCGCTATAACAGTGCAGATGTGGAAGTTTATGTGAAAATGGATGAGTCTGTTTCCCTGTCCAAAAAGGATCCTTGCACCTGTATTTGGATGATTACAGGTAGAGCTCACTGGCTCTAATTGTACAGTAAATACCATTTCCCAGACCATAATGGTAGACAGACTACTTAGGAGACGCCAGTCTGTGATTTAGCTGTCGCCAGTCACCCCATGTTTTTTGTGAGACTAGTTGTGATGATGACATAGTTAAACCCAGCTGAAAGCAAATCTTTGTATAAATTGCAATTTTTAATTTGTAAAAAATCAGATGTTTGAGTTGAGGAGTCATATAATGAAATGGTTTAACTGTTTCTATTACAATTAATGATTTAGTTTTTAAAAAGTATACCCAGATCTCATGGATGTGAGTGTAATTGTAGCTGAAAGATCAAAGCCTGGGTAGCTGAGTGATGTTCCAGAAGAGAATTTACCACATAGCCATTTTCAGTACAGTTTCTGCCTCCTGCTGTTCCTATTTTCCCTCAAGCTAGCCATTGACTACCCCCTGTGCATCCCTGCTCGTAAAAAATGATTGAGGAAGTATTTGTCATGTATTTATGAGTGGGAAACATTGTGTGATAGGGAAAGGCATCTACTAGAACCAGAGAGATTGCCATTTTCTTTCATTCAGCCACTCTGCCACAGCTTTAAATCCTCTGTTTATTCAACATAGCTTTTATATTTAAGAGCAGAATAAATGTTTTCTATGAAGGATGCTAACGGTAGACTTTTGTCATTTGTGTGGTGCAAGCAGATGTAAATGATTAGAATATATTTTACTGTTAGATGCCACTTAATTTGTGATTTTTGTTATTATTGTAAGGGGTAGAGGTTCTTATTTGAAATGCAAGCCACATTTAGACTAGTCGTTCAACTTTTTCTAAGTTTATTTCTGAGCTTAATTCATAATATTACTATAATAAAAGTAGGGTTAATGCAGGAAACGCTCAGCAGTAAAATGTTTTCATAAGACTTTTACAACTATAAAAGTGTTTAAAACAGCAAAGGAGAGGAGAGGCTTTTTGATTGGGGGTAGAGAGGAAAACTAAGATTGTCTTTGTTTTACTGGGTCACTCTTTCAGAATTAATGAACATTTTAATTGTTAGTTAAAACACACTTACATTTAAGTGCTAACATGTTATTTTTCAATCCAAGGAAAGAAGAAAACACTGTGAAAGATAGGACTATTGTGTGTTTGAGTAGGTGTATTGACCTTTTGAAAGATGTAAAAACTGGAATGGCTCCAAGCAGTTACTTGCTGGTTTTAACAATGTTGAATTAGGCATTCAGTTGATTTATGATTAAGACCTAGCCCCTGAAGAGAAGCTGACATGGCAGCTGTGTTAGTCGCACTTGTGTTATGATCAGATGACAGTAATCATGATGTTGTATGGGGGAATCCACTGAAACTGTTCTTACTACATATTGCTGTGCTCTAAATGAATGCTTAAGCCCTTCTTTTAATAATTCCTAATGGTTTTCATATGGATCTAGTACCTTAACATGATATACATGTATTTGAGTTTTACCATGAAAGTATTCTAAATAAGCCTATTAATTTTCAGTTAAAACTGTTTTCTGAGTCACAGGATGTCACATAAATCCAGGACATGAGATTTATCAACCCTACACCTAATTAAAGGTTTACATTTTAGTCTTGCTAAAGAGGGGGCTTTTAGTGGGTCATAATATGGATTCCAATTATGAAATATATTGAGCTACTTAATGAGCAGATGTAGTGGACCATGCTTAGCATACTGTTCAGTTCAGTATTTTGGACTTATTCTTTGCAGTGAGCACCAGGAATACTGTATGTGTCAAAGCTGCATAGACTGATCTTTTGACTCAACTTCTTAGGTCTAAACAAGGGAATTTTTTCATCCTGTGCATAGACTGTAATTTAAAGAGCTGATTATGCTGCTAAAGATTTTCTAATATCTATAGCATTGTAACTAAGACATCTGAGACTTGATACGGATTTTCGAACATTGTTTTCTCTAATATAATTCAGACTTGTTGAGTAGCCAAATGTGTGTTAAGATTATTTTCAAGGGGTCGTTTCTCAAAATGTTACGGTAGACATTGTGTTCACAAAAATAAGCTGGGTGTTGATGGGATTAGGGTACTTCCCTTGAAGTGTCTTACTCCTGTGTATTTAGAAAGGTGGCATATATGTCATAATAAATAACCTTTTCCCCATTAATTTTTATAGCATTTTTAATGTTGTTAAGCTACAAGAGGAATAAGTGGGTCAGATGACAGGTCTGTCTTTTCTGGTATCATGTTTCTGACAGGCCACTAACAGATGTCCAGGGAAGATGATAGGAACAGATTAAGCAAACAGAGTGTATGCGTCCAGCTTCTTGCAATCTGTTATTGTAGAACTGACTAAGCCAGATATGATATACTTGTGGTTAATAATTTTTGACTGATTTTTATTCTATGAATTTAGCCATTGACCTTTTGAACCCAAGTATACTTTTGGCATCCCAATATCCTGGAGCAGGGACTTCCACAGTTTAACTATGTGCTATATGGAGAAGTACTTCCTTATGCTTGTTTTGGATCTGCCACATCATAATTTCATTTGATGCTCCTTAGATCTTGTAGTATGAGAGTGAATAATCCTTTTCTATTCATCTTTTCCATATTGCTTCAGATGTTCCAAATATTAAAAAAAAAGGGGGGGGGAGATCTGACATGAAGAAAGAAATATCAAGGGTAAAGTACAAGGAAGACTCAATAGGCTTGAGTATGAATTAATCTGCTTCACTCAGTCTTTCACTTTTAAACTAGTTAGGTAAGAAAGTTGTTATCTGGTGGTAATTATCAGGTGGTATTATCTGGTTATTACCTGGAGACTTGGCGTTCTGGGTTGTATTTCTATGGATACATGCCCTGTGGTAGAATAGATCTAATAGTTGTGTGTTCACCATCTTAGCAAAAGAGCAAGGCAATGTCATGTGCTCGTAGAGCAAGAGGATGGTGACAGAAGAAATGCTATCCAGAAGGTTTTCATGGCTTCAGTACGCCTGTTAAAAACAAGAAAAAAAAAGAAAACTGTAAAGAAACTCAACAACAAAAACCCCTTATGCTCCCAAACCTCCCCTTCCACTCTTAAATAATGTTTGGTTTTAGAGAAGTCCTGGAGATACGATTTTTGTACAGACTCTTCTTAAATTGGTTAGCAATAAATATTTGATCTCTATGTAAAAAAAAAAAAAAAAAATCAGAGCAAAAGTTCTTCCTTAGCATTTTACCTGCATTTTGGTTTGAGACCTTTCAAAAAGACATTTTAAAAAACAAAAGAAACAAAGATAAATGGAAATGGTAATATTAACGTGACATACCTTGAAGCAAAATATGATTTAACAAGCAGTATAAGGATATATATATTTAAGAATCTTAGTAAATAAATTCACAGGAAATAAGGGAAAGAACAGCTGCAGGCCAGC